ATGTATTGGAAACAACCTAATTCCCTATCAGTAGGGAACTTGGTTAACTATATTGTGACACACCCATATGATGGAATACTATGCAGCTATTTAAAGCAACTTTGTATGCATTCATATGGAAAGATCAAGACATCCTTGCGAATAAAGCAAGGTAAAGCGAAGTATAGTGCGCTGCCGTTTGTGTCAAAGATGACGACAGCCCTAACCGGTTTGGCTCAATGGATAGAGCATCGGCCTGCAGACTCAAGCGTCCCAGGTTCAATTCCGGTCAACGGCATGTACCTTGGTTGCAGGCACATCCCCAGTAGGGAGTGTGCAGAAGGCAGCTGATCGATGTTTCTCTCTCATCGATGTTTCTAACTCTCTATCCCTCTCCCTTCCTCTCTGTAAAAAATCAATAAAATATATTTTTTTTAAAAATTGAGGTATAAAAAGATGACAAATAAGCCTGGCCAGTGTTGCTCAGTGGTTGAGTGTCCGCCTATGAACCAGGAAGTCATAGTTTGATTCCTGTCAGGCCACGTGCCCAAGTTGAGGACTCGATCCCCAGTGTGGGGCATGCAGAAGACAGCCGATCAATGATTCTCTCTCATCATTGATATTTCTCTCTCCCTCTCCCTCTCCTCTCCCTTCCTCTCTGAAATCAAAAATATGTTTTAAAAAGGTGGCAAATAATATGAAAAGATGTTCAACATTAGTGCTGTAAGGTTGAATGTTTGTATTCCCCAAAATTCGTATGTTAAAACCTAAACCTCAGGCATGTGCTAGGGGGCAGGAGTGGGCGGGAGAGATCAATGGGGGGAAAAGGAGACATATGCAATACTTTCAACAATAAAGAATTTAAATTTTTTTAAAAGGTGGCAAATAATACATGTCTGCATTATTGCTTGGATGAAAATACTTAATGAATGTTTATAATAACAGCAGCTACTGTTTAGGGGGTGGGTGAAAACTGGGTGGATGGGAGGCAGAAGTGGAGAAAATCTCTACTGACTTCTAGATTTGAGAATCCATATGAGTATGTCATTTGTTTATAATTCAGTATATGAGTTTTCTTTTAAGTTCTCCCTTCATAGAATCCAATAAATTTTTTTAGATGAATGGAGGCATATATGATGGCTTGTCTGTCACCGTTCCTATCCCCAGTACACATTCCATCACCACCGCTGCCACTACTCTGCCACTCCCCTGGGAAATAACAGGAAGCTTTTAATTTTTAAAATATGTCATTTAAAATATGACATTTTGAAGTCTTACTTTAAAATGATCAATTTATAGTAATAAACCCTTCCATCGCCCTTTCAAATATGTTCTAATTAGTTAGGTCCTTACAACAATCTTAGATAGTATATATGTTGTAGCATTTTATAGATGAGAAAAGAGACGTGAGAAATGAAGGGCCCTTCCCAAGGTCATTCCTCTGGAAGTGGCAGAGCCATCTAGACCAGTGGTTCTCAACCTTCCTAATGCCGCGACCCTTTAATACAGTTCCTCATGTTGTGGTGACCCCCAACCATAAAATTATTTTCGTTGCTACTTCATTACTATAATTTTGCTACTGTTATGAATCGTAATGTAAATATCTGATATGCAGGATATATTTTCATTGTTACAAATTGGACATAATTAAAGCATAGTGATTAATCACAAAAAACAATATGTAATTATATATGTGTTTTCCAATGGTCTTAGGCAACCCCTGTGAAAGGGTCGTTCGACCCCCAAAGTGGTTGCGACCCACAGGTTGAGAACCACTGATCTAGACTTTCAGATTACAAATTTATGTTCCTTCTAATGCAGCTCAGACAATAACTCCCCCATCCTTCCAAATTCTGAAAAAGAGAGAACAGAGATGGCAGAGGACTCTCACGAATTTTATTTCCATCCCATGACACTCTGTGACAGACCTAAACAAGAATGGGCCAGTCTGGGTCTTGGTCCTAGGGGACAGTACTTACAGAGAAGGGAAAATATCCAACTTTTGTTTTGACAGTTATACTCACACAGCAGGATAGAAAAGAAGAAAGAAAGATGTCCTTGGCTGGTGTGGAGAGAATCCTGCCAGGAAATCTAGTGGATGCTCCAACTTGCCAAAGACATCCCCAAGGTCCCATTAGCACCAAGACACTGAACCAGAGCAGCACTGAACACTCAGTAACACTGCTGACGTCCTGGCGACTCTTGAAAGATTATGTTTCTAATTACTGAGGCACGGGCGGGACGCTTGAAGGTGGGACCAGAGAGTGGGAGGATTTTGCTGCTGAGGATGAGGTGAATGTGGCCCTGGGTGTACATCACAAAAGCTTCCCTATATGTGCTTTCCTCCTCTACTTCTTAACCTCTGGATTGACTCCAGAGTCACCTACCATCCCCCACCCCCACCCCATGATAAAGTGAGAACTATCAGTGAAGAGAATAAAAGATGCCTTCACAACCATAGGCCAGATCACTGTCAGAGCTGACTGGAAGCTGAGAGCAACAGCATAAACACTAGAAAGCCCAAGAACTCGCCGATCTTGTAATCTAAGATACGGCACATAAAACATGAAAGGCATGTAGTGTACAACAGCCAGCCCATTTATAATGGTCTCGGACCATGCAAAGCATTCGTGTGTTCTGATTTTTCAAAAGTGTCCTCAGACCTATTCCTTCTGGAATAAAAATGTGACCTGAACAGCTCTTCTGGTCCCTCCCTAAATAAGGACCACCAGGAGAAAAACACAGACTGCATCTGACATAATATATTCATCCTGGGTGAGACAATGTGATGCTCACCTTCACACAGAAAAGGCAGGAAAAGTTTAGCATTCTTTTGAAGAAAAGAACAAGTAATTATCCACAATTCCTCATCCAACTCTGAGATCATCAATTCACAACTACTTTAAATACTCCAGAGTACATAAAAATCTCTCAAGGAGCATCATAAAATTTAAATCATAATACTGGCCCCCAAAAGGACACTTAATTTTAGTTTAAAATAAAATTCTAAACTAGCTAGCTAACTTATCTCTGATGTGCTACCTTTCATAGTGGGCAGCGATAAAGCGGAAGGGATTCAAGAGGAGTTAAAAAGTACACAATACATCAGATCTAACTTCTAAACGCAGCTATGCAGGAGCCAGAGCAACTATTTTCCTCCCCCAAAGCTTCTGACTTCCTCAGAGCCACCCAGCACACCCTCCATTTGTTATCTAAGTGGCCAAAAGGACTTCTCCCCAAGACCAACCTCTGACCACCAGAAATAGGGCTGCCTTCACATTGAAGCAATTCTCAACAGTCCTATTGTTCTGCTTTTTCAGATGATGGAAAATCTAATTCCAGGAAATGTTAATAGCTTCATTATGTGACCATAGGACTAATAAGTTATATAGCCAAAGAATTTGGAACTAAGCTACTAAGATATTTTTGGAATAATAGCTGATCTCTTGATATAAATTTATCGTTATCAAGGATCTAGGAGTATAAGCAAAACTCCTACAAAAAAGGAGAATCAAACGGCCGAGCCTAAAAAAATTTGGAATGTGCTAAGACCTGACTCGGGCTGGGGATACTTGGCAGGTCCAGGCCAGTGTGGAGTGGATGCTGGTGCAGATTAAAAAGGTGGAAGAAACAGGCACTTGGGACCATGTTGGAAGCAAAATATAGGACGAGTGTTCAGAAAATTCTGACAAACCATGGAGGAGAGGTTAGAGCAGTGGTTCTCAACCTGTGGGTCGCGACCCCTTTGGCGGTCAAACGACCCTTTCACAGGGGTCGCCTAAGACCATCCTGCATATCAGATATTTACATTATGATTCATAACAGTAGCAACATTACAGTTATGAAGTAGCAATGAAAATAATTTTATGGTTGGGTCATAACATGAGGAACTGTATTTAAAGGGCCAGAAGGTTGAGAACCACTGGGTTAGAGAATCCTAGACTGCTGTTAATAAAGTAGGTCTAAGGGAAGAACCTCTTGGTAATATCCAGGAAGTAAAAATAGACAGTTTTCCTTAGTTGGGCACCAGCCCATCACGCTAACAGTTTCTGTGCAAGAGCATGAAGAAGGCCTCCAGGCACCAGGGAGCCCTGGGCAGAAGATAAGGAAGTTTGGAAGAACAAGAAGCTACCGTAGGACAATGCACCAAAGAAGAGCACTTCGCCCAAACCCATCACGTGAAGATGGAAGGAAGGAAGCCCCCAAACATGTTCATTAACTCATAAAACAGTCCCTTTCCCATGGGATACCCACATCCCCACAGCAGAACTCTCTTCAGTAGTCTGTCACCTTCCTTAAAAAGTCTCAGTCAGGGGACTGGCCTGGTTCCACAATCAGCCCATCTTCATTGCTTTGGGAAAGTAACAGTCCTCAAAATTTCCCCACAACTCTGGCATCTGCCCCAGATAGGAAGATCCCTTTGATATTTTCATCCCCCAAATCATCCTGACCCTTACATTTCCCAACCATCTTGGCTATGCCTTAACAACTATTGTGAAAAATCATAGAAGTGTTAGCTATGATAATTATTCCATTTCATTTCCTTAAGGACATTTCTTTCTTCTTAGAAAATTTCTTAGAGTCCTATGCTATCAATAACAACACCAACACAATAATAATGATGATGACAGTCACAATGGCTCACATGTGTAGAGTGCTTACCCCGCCAAGCACTACACTAAGGGCTTTACATATTTACACATTTTACATAGTGAAATCATATTGCATCAGACCTAGCATGTAGAAGTTACAATTGTCTTCATTTTACAGAAGAGGAAACTGAGGCACAGTGTACAACCTTCCTCCCATATCGCCCCCTCCCTTTGTGAGGAACCCCATGCCAATAGTAAAGCCTCAGGAATCCGAAGTTTCTGAGTGGTGTTTTTTAACTGCTGGCAGGGAGGATAATACTTTGGTCTGGGCTTTGGGAAGAGTATTCTTGACTCCTTTGGTCACAAAACTCATACAAGATGTGGCTATTCTATTATTTTGCTGCTGCACAGGGCACAGCCAGTTCTTACCCTGTTGTCTTCCTGGATCTCCCAGTCACTGGAGAAAGTTGCCATCTGCTGCCCTTGGGAGCAGTTTGAAAACTGGAAAAGGCTGGAAAACATCCTTCTGTTCTCTTGAGTGTCTGGAAAGATGGCATCTTGGAAATTGACTCCATGAGGCAAGAGATTATAATTTTCATCCATCCTAGTGAGGAAAGAGGAAAAAAAGCAGATGTAGAAGAAACACTTTATGGGGTGTACCAGCTTTAATCAAGAGTCAGAGAAGACTGACAGTCTTGCCAATTACACAATAATGTCTCACACGGCTCTCCTCAGAGGAGTTACTGTTTCTAATTACTTCTCTGCCATAGGTACATGCATCTATTCTTAAAGTTTTCAAAAAGATGACTTTGGGTGAGGCAGGGGGGAAAGTGCGTGCTTGCGTGTATGTTTGCCCATTTATGTATCTCCCAAGAAGCATTCCTTCTCATAGAGAGTATTTCTTGTTTCTTGGTGAAAGGAAGGTCAGTTGGAATGGCTCAGGTTCAAATCCTGCCCTTACTACTTATCTTCTGCCTGGCATGAAACAAATTTTTAAAATTCTCTGCTTTCGTATTCCAATCTGGAAAAACAGGATATTAGCACTTTACTCCTTAGTGGCCGTGTAAGGGCTGCATTAGGAAATGTGAGTGACGCACTTGGCGTGAAGTGAGTGCAGCATAAATGTTAGCTAACATTTCTATAGAGCCTAGTGTAGTAGCCTGTTGGAAAGACAAAGTCATGAAAAGGAAAAGGGGTGATGGAAGTCACACTCCAGCTCACCAGTGTGTCTCCACTGCCACTTCCCACTGAGAACTGACCAGAATCTGTCCCAGTGGGTCCCCGAATGACAGAGCAGGAATGATTCGTATGCAGCTGTTACACACTTAGGACAACATAGCCCTGTGGAACGGAGATCCTATCAGACTACTGACTGACTCTGTATTTCTGCCCTAACTCTTTGTAAATATATCAGAGCAGAAGATGAAAGAGTTGGCTGACCACCATAGAGCCAGTGGTCAAAACTCTATTTCATGATAAAGTTGGGGGAAACAAACAAACGATGTCTACTCAAGTACTCTGGCTTTTTCCTTTGGAAAAAAAAAAAAAGTTTTGTTGTTGTGTAGTTTTATAGCTGGAGTCTCAGTGTTTTCCCTAAATAAAAATATGAAAAATCTGAGCTAAGCTTTCCTGTATAAGAAAGGTACAGTCTCAGTCCACACTGACTTTATTTAGAAACTATATTTCCCCAGCAATGAGAAAAAAAATTCAATTGAATCTAGCTAACCCACTCACGCCAAAACAAAGCACGCATGTATTCTAAACTTAGATATTTTGGCTCCAATATGGAAAACATGTGTTGCCAGGGGCTTACGGACGCCCTCTGTGGAACTTACTGTTTTCCGTCTCAGAGAAATCTCAAAAGCTCAAAGTGAATTTGCAGACCCAGGTCACAGTCATTCAAATATCTTTATTGCTACTGCACACACTGGGCAGATTAGAAGCAGTACCAATCACAACTTTGGTTAATTCACTCTCTGAATATAGATGTTAGATTCCATTTTGATGTTTCTCTCAGTTGCTCTGTATCACTCTCCTATTGCAATCGGAAACAACCAATGCACTTAGGGTTCCACCTGCTGCTCTCGGGTTTCAGACTTCAGTGGAACCCCTTGTCTGAATTCTTATGCACATGCACTCCATCTGGACCACAGGCCAACTTTCATGGAACCTTACAAGATTCCAGGAGTCTCCAGTCAGAGAGGGCCTCCTGCCTGATTCACCTCCATCCTCTTCGAAGCACTGTGACTCAGGGTCTTACCCCCAGAAGCCCACTCCCCTCCCTAAATCTTGGCTATTTTGAATAGCGTGGCACTGAGGTCTGTCGGCAGCTGATATGAGTCACTCCGATGAATAGGAGTGAAACTAGGACAGCTGGTCTGCATTCCGCATCAGTCACATCCTGACATTCAAGCAGGTGGGGAGAAGAGAGTGCACTGTCCCTGCAGCTAACCTGCACCAGGTGTTTCCAGCAGTTACTCTGTTTTAGTCTCAATCAGCCTTGCTTTTCACATTACTGACGTGAGGATATTGAGGTTCTGAGGTCAGTAACTCGCACAAAATCAGGAGGAGCAGAACCAGAATTCCAACAGTCTGGTTTCAAAGGTTTTTCTTTTTCTTCCTCATCAGCCCAAGCTACTCCCACTGAATCCAGTTTTGTTTTTTCTTTTAAGTTGACTCAAAGGAAGTATTGGAAACCCCCTTGGGCGTTTGCCTGAAACATCTTCTTTGCATGAAGTACAGAAATTCCTGTTTTATAACCACCCTTAGCCAAAGATACCTGGTATCTTCGTAGAGACGTCGAATAAAGAGTAAGGGGAGGACCCCAAGGCATATTCTCATAGGGCAGGGACAGGATTCTGTGGGAGTCCTGACCTGGCCCCAGGTAACTGTGACCTCGGGAGGCCACCCAGAGGTGCACAGGGGGTGGTGTGGGTTCGAGGTGCCGGGCTCACCTGAGGAAGAAGAAATAGGAGTAGTCCTGGACCACCGTGTGGGAGTGACAGGAGAAGTAGCCCAGGCCGGTGAGGTTGAGCCTGGAGCCGGCGGGGACCTCGAGCATGCTGCCCCACGCCTGGTCGCACAGCATCTCGATCTCGGCTGAGTAGAAGAGCCCCGCCGCGCCGGCCTCGTACTGCCAGGGCAGGGAGTTGTAGAGGCCGGGCACCTCCTGGTGCAGCGCCAGCACCTTGGCGTACACGATGATCTCGGCCAGCTCGGCGCGGCAGCCCTCGCTCAGGGGTCGCCACTCCGACGGCAGCTGACAGCCGCGGGCGGGTCGGAGCCGGCCGGCCAGGCAGAGCGCGGCGAGCAGCAGCGGGCGCAGCACCCCCATGCCGGCGGCGGCGGGCGGCGGGGCGGCCCCGGTCGGCGCTGCGCCCCGAGCGCGCTAGCTTGGGCGCATGGCCGGGCCCTCGGGACCCGCAGAGCGGAGTGGGGCGCAGGGGGCGTCGGGGAACTCGGAGCGCCCGCACGGCCCGGGAAAGGCAGTCCTGGGCACTGGGCCCGGCGCGCTGCTCCGGGACCTCCGCACGCCGCTTCCCGGCCGCCAGGCTCGCCAGCCCCGCCGCGCCCGGGACGGGACGCTTTAAAAGGGTCGCGGGGCGGGCCGACCACCGCCTCCCGCCCGGCCCCTCGCGGCGGGGGCGTGGGCGGCGGCGGGAGAGGCGGGGAGGCGGCCGGGAGCGGGGGACTGGGCCAGGGACGCGCAGGAAGCTCGGAGCCGCAGGGGCTGCCGCTCCGCCAGGCGCGGTGTTTAGAAGGGGGTGCATAGCGCCCCGAAAAAGTCACTGCTGGGAACACCACCCAGCCCTCTTCCTGCGCCCCACTCTGGCACTGGGGCAAAGCTTTCCAGAAGTAAAGCATGTTCCAAGCGCGTGGCATCTTTAAAATCATTGCTGCTCCTTAGCATGACTACTCTTCGTTCATTTTATGTTTCCTATGTAGTTCATTTAGACTCAAAATACATAGAAATCAAATCTGACTTGACCTTCACAGGGGTTAACTAGGAAATTCGATTGAACTAATAAACTATCTCTCTCTCTCTCTCTCTCTCTCTCTCTCTCTCTCTCTCTCTCTTTCTCATTATTTAATCATGATCTTAGAAAAGCCATAATAAAAGATTAACAAAGCCATTTTACCCTGATGTTTCTAAAAGTACATAATTTACATAATTCCTGCTTCCAGATTCTCAACACCCTCCACATAACAAACAAATTTGGGGGTCAATTCCAAACAGCTTTTCACAAGGCAATGGGTGAATCTTGAGGAGACCCAGACTCTGACAGTTCTATCTTTATCTCTAAACTTGGCAGTTCCTTTTATCTCTAATTGCCTTACTGTTTGTAATGTAGTGAAAAGAAGAAAAACGAGATGCTTGTTATTTATAAATACTAGTAGCCCGGTGCACGAAATTCATGCACATTAAAAGGGAATTAATTGCCCTAACTGGTTTGGCTCAGTGGATAGAGCATCGGCCTATAGACTCAAGGGTCCCAAGTTCGATTCCAGTCAAGGGCATGTACCTTGGTTGCGGGCACATCCCCAGTGGGGAGTGTGCAGGAGGCAGCTGGTCGATGTTTCTCTCTCATCAATGTTTCTAACTCTCTATCCCTCTCCCTTCCTCTCTGTAAAAAATCAATAAAATATATTTTTTTAAAAAGGGAATTAATTAGCAGAGATATTTTAATATTGCTATTTGCCCTTTCTCTATAATAGAAGTGTGAGAGATGAAAGGAAATTAGTAAAATGTATATGAAAATAATATATACATTTATTAATAAATAAACAGTATCAAAAGGATATAACAACAAAAGAGGCATGATATAAAAACGACAAAAACATGATATGAAAACAACAAAAACATGATATAAAAACAACAGTGAGCAAACAATGACTGATAAAGTGATTAAACTTATTCTAATATCTCCCAGTACACCACATTAAGAGTGAAAACACTTTCAGAGTTCTTGACTAATTTCCTTTGTGATGAAGTACTTAGAACTTTAATTGTAACATCACATGCTCTTCAAACTCAAGAAAAAGCAACATATAACTGACCATGTGCAAAAACGGCTTCAGGTAGGAACATGCCTACTCTGTCTAGAGTTGTCCCTGTGATTTATTAATAGTCATCACAAATGCTGGCAGCATGGGAAACCGTCATCGAATCAATTTAAATGGGAGTCCAGTGTCAGATGGGGACAAATTAATTCTTGGAATCAGAACAGCCTCTCCCTCTGCAGATCCCATTAATACTTCAGCTTCGATAATGTTAGGTCATAATCTTTTGACAATAAATCTGGTACCATTACAAAGACCCCATTTACTATTGAGATTTCTCAATAGCATGATGATTGCACCCACTTTCAATTTTAATTTATGATACGGCATTCCCGAAGGAGTAATACTATTCAGAAATTCGATGGGGAAAATTTCCTTTGTTTCTTTGTTATGGGGTGGGGCCACAACATTAGTAACAAAGAAACAGAATTAAAACTTTATTGTGGGGAGCCACTACAGTGTTTTGGACAGGTTCAAGCCTTGGACTGATGAGAGGGCACAGTCTTCTCATTGCCACGTGCAAGTCCCAGCTTGGAGGGCAGGGCCCTCCCAGCACAATTATAGCCAACAGCTGTAGTTGTAAGTTTGAACCTATCGTTCAACACATGGCCCCACGTGCCTGAGTGATGTGGGCTTGATAGAGTTCAGGTGCATGTAGTTGAGTAGGATTGAAACCCAGGAGAATGTTTGTATGCCAGAAGCCGGTCCATCCTTGCTGCTTGACACAGTCGCTGCAGGGAAGAAACATCTGCACAGCATATGTTTCAAGGGACCTGGCGTATATGGCATACTGTTCTTAATATGTTTGCTCCCCTTCTTAGCACTATGTGTTTTAACCAAGGACACCTCTCCGAGAAAGGTTGTTTCCCCAGGTGAGGATTTTTTCCCTGGAGTTAGGGATTAACAGAACTAAGGAAGAGAATAAATCAGTGAAACCCCCTAGTGTTACAGAAATACCATGTACTACTTATGAAGAACTTGGACTAAGACTGTTGGCAATAAATTTGGGACTTGTTGGGCCTACATTCCCAGGGGTCTGCCCACCAGGGAAAGCACCAAAGCCTATACCCCTGGGAGACTCACTGACACAGGGCAGTCCCAGGGAAAGCAAGTAGCGAGGCTGGGAGGACATAACCTTTACTGGGTAGGATAATCTCCTTCAGTCATTTCCTTGTAGTTTATCAGTAGAGCAGTGACCTTGGAATAGCCCTTATAATGGAACACAGAGATTAACCTAGACAGGATTAAACTCAACAGAACTAGATTAACAAACGCCCTAACCTTTGGAATAGAATGGATAGGATTCAAATCAACTGGTATAAATACAGATGTAGCAGGACAATAAAGACCGAACCTGGCTGGAGAACCTGGCGAGAGAACCTGGCTAGGCTGCTGATCAACTGAACACTGTCTCAGTGTCATTCCTTCTTTGCCGACTCTGTCCACACCTTTGGGAACCCCTCGACCTGCTGGGGTTGGGCCCCAACATTTGTAAACATCTTGGTCACACCCTTACTTTGCCTCATAGCATCTGCTATAAAATGAAGGCATGGCTGTGGGCGTGGTTGCTGTCTCTCAGAGAAGCAGCGTCCCACCGAGACACAGCTTTCATTCTCTTGTCTGTCTTTTCTAAGCCTTTCAGCCGCCCCACTCAGGTTCACCCTGTGCTGGCATAGCACACTTTAGAAAGATCTGCCTCCACGCTCCCAGGGCGGGTTCCTGCCTCAAACTCTGAGCTTACAGGAAACAGCTCCGGGAAACAGTTCGGGGGAGGGCGCAGCCGTTGCCAAGACAACCCCTGTAGGACTGACTTCCTTCCGCTTGGTCTCGGCTGTTCGTCTGTATGTGATGAACACCACCCATGGTTTTTATATAAGTAGATATTTATAATATGTATGTATATCATACATAAATATGCATATGTAATATACAAGTTGCTGTATATATCATGATATCATATCTAATATATATGTATGGTAAACGTATAAGCAAAATTGCCTTAAAATGGAAGGCTCTTTGTTCTGCAAGCAGCTTATGAGTTAAGGTTTCTGCAAGTTGGAGCCTTGGACCCAAATGAATTCTTCTATGCACTGGAGGGAAAAGAATTCTTGGGGGATTCTGGAAAGAAAGATAAGCAAAAACAGAGGCTACCAAAGTGGGAGAGAAGATTCCAAGCTGGACCTCACCTCCCACGACTCCCAAATCTCCTTCCTGAGATCTCTCAAACTCCAGTTAAGATGAATACATGGATGCATGCTTGTTATGAACTAAGTTTTGTAAGGCAACTCTGGGGTACGATCCAGCCCTTCGGAGCAGGGACTCGGAAGGAAGAAGACCTGGAAGGGGACTTGGAAGACATGAGGGGAAGGGGTCTGGGCATCCCCAGAAGTGGAATGATCAGGACTCCAGTTGATCATTGTAATTAACCCAGTTATTAATAACAGGAGAGGAGCAAAAGGAAGCTGCAATTTAGACGCATGCCCAATAACGTCTGGGTGATGTAGGGGAGGGTGCTTGTCTGTCAATCATACCTGGGAATAGGTCCTTGCCCAGAATAGCCATGCCCACTGCAAGCTGGGGGAGATTCCATACTTAAGCTCGTGAACAAAGGAGTTCCCTCTCTGGTGCCACTCAGCTCTGGCTCTCTTGCTGCAGGGGGCATGCTCCCCTGCATTTGCCTACACAATGGACTGGTGGACTTACAAGCCTAATACTACACTGGACCCAGCTCCACTGTGGAACAGAAACTTTGGACACTAGCCTTGCTTCTAACTCTGCTGAATCCTCAGCTGCACCTCTTCCAGGACTGGTTTCAGGGAAATAGGACTTAAGAGCCCGAGGGATGGTCCGGCTGGTGTAGCTCTGTGGTTGAGCATTGACCTAAGAACCAGGAGGTCACAATTTGATTCCTGGTCAGGGTACATGTCTGGGTTACAGATTCAATCCCCAGTAGGGGGCATGCAGGGGCCAATTGATATTTCTATCTCCCTCTCCCTTCCTCTCTGAAATCAATAAAAATGTATTTTTTTAAATATATTTTATTGATTTTTTTTACAGAGAGGAAGGGAGAGGGATAGACAGTTAGAAACATCGATGAGAGAGAAACATCGATCAGTTGCCTCCTGCACACTCCCTACTGGGGATGTGCCAGCAACCAAGGTACATGCCCTTGACCGGAATTGAACCTGGGACCTTTCAGTCCACAGGCTGAAGCTCTATCCACTGAGCCAAACAGGTTAGGGCAAAAATATATTTTTTAAAAGAAACTGAAGGATGTAATTTCATGCAAATAAAAATCACTCATTCTCCTGTTGGAGTCTTAGAGAATTATTTTTCTCAAAATATCATAAGCACCCGATCCCCCAGCACCCAGTGGGAAAACGGATCCCCCACTTCCACCAGTGGACACCCTGCTTCTACTGACAACACAGTCAGTGATACTCAGCTAGTGTAGGAATGAAAGGCCACAGCTGACAATAGATCACATTCGTCTAGAACGGTGGTTCTCAACCTTGGCTGCACATTAGAAT